AAACTGTAAGTAAGCCCTGTTAGAACATAGAACAAAACAATTCTATAAAGTATTAATATGTCAGGGTAATTTTATATTTTTTAAAATATAAGTTGACAAATACTAGATTTGATAACTTTTTCTTTTTAAAAAAAAATTGTTACCTGAAAAGAATCAGTACAAAACTATTCCATTATTATACACATTGGTGGTAGACATCAAGTTACATATAAAAGCAAAAATCAAAGGGAGAATTTCAAAATGAGAGAATGTAAAAGTCATTTAAATTTCTCAAGTAACAAATGAAACAATAATTTCACTACAAATGAAACAATAATTTCACTATATATAGTTTCACTAGAATATACAGTCATGAGAAATTTAAACTCCTTTCCCACATCCCTTTGTCTTTTTTAGACTCAGGACTACAACACAAGAGACAAAAATGTGCTAAATGTACAATCTAATTTTTTTTAAAAAAAGACTAATTCACTTCAGATAATGCTATTAAAATTTTTGGCTTCTGATTACATAAATGCAATCAGTAATAAATAATTAAAATATGAAAAGTTCCATAATAAATCATTACCAAATAATTTAAAATATTTCAGAAATTAAAAATTTCTTATTCTATTATGGGTAGTAAAAAAATTTAAAATTTAGACAAAAAAAGTATTTATTTTTGAGTAACCCATTATTGCCATTTATAACATTATTCTAAAACCAATTTACTGTGTTTCTTACAGCTTCCATATTTCCTACTGATAAACAAGAACTTAATACTGACATAATTAATATGATCTTGTAATACAGTTTATAGTTCACAAGTTTCTTTAAATTATTTTGACCCTACAACAAAACGTGAGAGACAAAATATTGTATAGCTCAACAGTGATGAAAGTAACCCTCACAGCAAATTAAAGAAACAAAGGCACTCACCATATAGTCAAATCAACCTCATCAGACAAATATTGCCTGTAATCCAACTGTGCAAAAAGTGGAAATAGTACTTGTACTCCTCCAATTGAATGCATTGCACTTTGGATGGAATGTGTTAAAACTGCCTTTACATCCTTGTAAGATCAAAAACACAGTAAAGACTTCAATGATTTCTTTTCCAAAACAATTAAAAATAAGGCACAACAATAAATGCAGAAACACTAAAATGTGACATTTCATGTATTTAACAGAAGCTACCAGATACATCTCAATAACACATCAAAAATTACCAATATAAATTTTCTTCAAAGATCACAGTTAGTACCTGGAGCATGAGAGCATGTGGTGAATGAACAAAAATTGAAGGGTTGTCCTTAGGAGATGATTCAAGGCAAAGTTGGGCATCTGTAGCCCGTGGATTGTACGTGAACGCAATGGCACTAGAGAGTTTCCCATCGTACAATAGAAGTTTGTGATGCTCAGCTAGGAAAAGGTCGCTTTCTGCTTTGAATTTAAATGTACCCTAAGAATTAATTAAAAACAGTTAAATAGCATGCCACAAAAAGAGAATCTAAGTACAAATCAATACAGGTGTAAAATTTTAAGGAGGAAGACCGTTGATAATCTTTTAACAGTATCATCTAAGAGGACCCCTCTTTGTTTACTTCTAAAATTGGCTGAATTTAAAGATACAATGGAAATCAAGTCAACTTGACATTAAAACCTTACCTTAAAAAGGTAAAAGTGACCAACAGATCACATTTTATCTTTTTTTCTTATACTCTTTTTTTAAAATTGTGGTCAAAAGTATATAATATACAACTTACCATCGTATTTTTAAGTGTGTAATTGAGGAACATTAACTGTATTCATATTGCTAAACAGCAAATCTCTAGAACTTCTATATCTTGCAAAACTGAAACTCTGTAGCCATTTAACAACTCCCCATTTCCTGCTCCCCACCAGTCCCTGACTATCACAATTCTACTTTCTGTTTCTATGAGTTGGACTCTTAGATCCCTCATATAAGTGGAATCATACAGTATTTGCCTTTTTGTGACCAAAGCATTTCATTTAGCACAATGTCTTCATAGTTCCTCCATGTTTTAGCTGATGACAGGATTTCCTTGTTTTTTAAGGTTGAATTATGGTCCTGTGTGTTTATGTGTGTTGTCTGTCACATTTTCTTTATCCATTCATCTGCTACTGGACATCTGGGTTACTTCTATTTCTGAGTTATTGAAAATATTACTATGAACATGGGTGGGCAAATATCTCCTTGTGACCCTATTTCTTGTGTGAAAATATGTCTCCATGATCCTCTTTTCAATTATTTTGTATATATCCCATAAGTGAGATTACTGGATCACATGGAAGTTCTATTTTTAATTTTTTGAGGAACCTCATATTGTTGTCCACAGCAGCTGCACCATTTTTCATTCCCCTCAACAGTGCACAAAAGTACCAATTTCTCCACATTCTCAACAACACTTGTTATTTTCTGTTTTCTTTCTTAAAGAGTCATCCTAAATGGTGAGGTGATAGTGCGTTGTAATTTAAATTAGCATTTTTCTAATGTCTAGTGATATTGAGCATCTTTTCGTATGTTCATTGGCTATTTTCATATCTTCTTTAAAGAAATGTCTACTCAACTCTTTTATGCGTTTTTAATTGTTTTGTTGTTGTTGTTGTTGTTGTTGAGTTACAGGATTCATATATTCTGGATATTAATCCCTTATCAGATATATGATTGCTAAATATTTTCTCTCTGTAGGTTACCTTTCCACTCTGCTGGATATTTCCTTTGATGCTCAGAACTTTATAACTTTGACATCATCTTATTTGTCTGTTTTTGCTTTGGTTGCCTGTGCTTTTGGTATCACAATCAATCAAGAAATCACTGCCAAATTCAATGTTGTAAAGCTTTTCCCTTATGTATTCTTTCAGGAGTTTTATAGTTTTACATGTTACTTTTAGGTCTTCAATCCATTTTCAGCTCATTTTTATATACAACATATAATATGAATTAAGTATAAAACTTTTTTTTCTTATTTTTCGCATCTGGATATCCACTTTTCCCAACATCATGTGTCGAACACACTGTCCTTTCCCCAATATGTGGCCTTGCCTCACTTGTCAAAGATCATCTGACCTTATATGCAAAAGTTAATTTCTGGACACTATATTGTGTTCCTTCAGCATATGTGTCTAAGCAAGTCTAACACTGTTTTAATTATGTATTATAGCCTTGTAATAAATTTTGAAATCCGGAAGTGTAAAGCTTGCAACTTTGTTCCCCTTTTTAAAGACTGTTTTGGCTACTGAGAATCCCTTGAGATTCCATATTAATTTTAGAATTGTGTTTCTATTTATGCAAAAAAATGCCATTGGTATTTTGATAAGAACTGCACTGAATCTGTAGATTGCTTTAGGTAGTATGGATTTTTAACATATTAAATCTTCCACAAGATGAACAAGGGATGTCTTTACATTTCTTTGGGTCTCTTTAATTTTGTCAGCAACATTTTGTACTTTTCAGTGTACAACTCTTTTGCCTCCTTGGTGGAGTCAGGGTACAGCTCTTTTGCCACTTTGGTTGAGTTTATTTCTAAGTATGTTATCCTTTTTGATGCTATTTTAAAAGAAATTGTGTAATTTTCAAACTGTTCATTATTACTTCATTATTGCTACATAGAAACACAATTGATTTGTGTGTATGATTTTGTGCCTTACAACTCTGCTGAATTCATTTCCTAGTCCTAACAGTTTTTGGTGAAATCTTTAGGGATTCTTAGATACAAGGTCATGCCATATACAAACAGATCATTTTACTTGTTCCCTTCCAATTTAGTTGCCTTTTATTTCTTTTTCTTGCCTAATTGCTCTAACTGGATTTCCAAATACTATGTTGAATAGAAATGGAAAGAATAAGCATCCTTGCTTTGTTCCTGATTTTAGAGGAAAAACTGACTATTTTTCACTGTTCAGTTAGTCATGGGCTCTTCATATATAATACTTCATTATGTTGAGGTAGTTTCCTTCTATTCATAGATTGTTGAGTGTTTTGTTTTGTTTTTTTAAATCAAGAAAGAGTGTTGAATTTTGTCAAATGCTTTTTCTGTATCAGTTGATATATGACCATATAAATTTTGTAATTCACTGTTAATGTGGTACATTGCATTGACTGATTTTCATGTTGAACCATCTTTGCATTCCAGAAACAAATCTTAATTTGACAATGTGTATCATTCTTTTAATGTGCTGTTAAATTCAATTTCTTAGTGTTTTATTGAGGATTTTTCCATCAATATTCATCAGGGATATTGGTCTATAGTTTTCTTTCTTTTACTATCTTGATCTGGCTTTGGTATCAGGGTAACACTGGCCTCATAAAATCAGTCTGAAAATGTTCCCTCCTCTTAAAATTTTTGTAAATTTGAGGAGAACTGGTGTTAATTCTTCTTCAAATAACTGATAGCATTCTCCAGTGAAGCCATCTAGTCCTCAGCTTTCTTTGTTGAAAAGTTTTTTTTTATTGGTTCAATCTCCTTACTAGCTACAGGTCTTTTCAGATTTTTAAAATTTATTCTTGATTCAGTCTCAGTAGGATGTATGTTTCTAGAAAATTATCCATTTCTTCAAAATTATCCAATTTGTTGGCATACTGTTCATAGTATTCTCTTATAATTCTTTCTATTTCTGTGGCATGTTATAATGCCTCCTCCTTATTTTCTGATTTTACTTATTTATGTACTTTTCTTTTTTCCTTATTCTTCATAAGAATTTGTCAATTTTGTTGATGTTTAATTAAAAAAAAAAAAAAAGACCTGTTAGTTTCACTGATTTTTTCTCACTACTTTTCTATTTTCTATTCCAAGGGTCCCTAATCAGGTATATAACCTATTAGGAACAACAGCAAGAAGTGAGCGGGGGCAAGCAAGCCAAGCTTCATCTGTATTTACAGCCACTCCCTATCACTCACATTACTGCCTGAGCTCCACCTCCTGTCAGATCAGATTTTTATAGGAAGGTGAACCGTATTGTGAACTGTACATGCAAGCAATCTACATTGCGTGCTCCTTATGAGAAATTAATGCCTGATAATCTGTCACTGTCTCCCATCAACCCTGGATGGGACCGTCTAGTTGCAGGAAAACAAGCTCAGGGCTCCCACCGATTCTACATTATGGTGAGTCGTATAATTATTTCATTATATATTACAATGTAATAATAACAGAAATAAAGTGCACAATAAATGTAATGCATTTGAATCATCCCAAAACCATCCCTGCTGTGCCCCCACCACCCATGGTATGTGGGAAAACTGTCTTCCATGAAACTGGTCTCTGGGACCAAAAAGGTTGGAGACTGCTGTTCTAGTTCATTTATTTCTGCTCGGATTTTTACCACTTCCTTCTATCTGCTAACACTGACTTTATTTGTTCTTTTTCCAGTTCCATACTGTATAAATTAGGTTGCTGATCTGAGATCTTTCTTATCAGTCATTATCACCATAATCTTCTCTCTTAGACTGAGGTTACTGAATCCCGTAAGTTTTGGTAGGTTGTGCTTATATTTTGATTTGTCTCAAGATATTTTCAAATTTTCCTTGTGATTTATCTTTGACCCAATGGCTGTTTTAAGTGTGTTGTTTAATTTCTACATGTTGGTGGACTTTCCAGTTTTTCTTTGGCAACTGGTTCCTAGTTTCATTTTACTGTGGTCAAAAAAGATACTTGGTATAATTTCAATCTTAACTTTGTTGACACTCACTTTGTGGCATAACACATGTCTATCCTGGAGAATGTTCCATGTGTGCTTAAGAAGAATGCAGGCCAGGCGCAGTGGCTCACACCTGCAATCCCAGCACTTTGGGAAGCCAAGGCGGGAGGATCACCTGAGGTCAGGAGTTTGAGACCAGCCTGACCAAAATGGCAAAACCCCATCTCTATTGAAATTACAAAATTAGCCGGGTGTGGTGCCACATGCCTGTAATCCCAGCTACTTGGGAGACTGAGGCAGGAGAATCGCTTGAACCCAGAAGGTGGAGGTTGCAATGAGCCAAGATCGTGCCATTGCACTCCAGCCTGGGCGCAAGAGCGAAACTCTGTCCCAAAAAAAAAAAAGACGAAGAAGAAGAAGAAGAAGAAGAAGAATGCACATTCTGCTGTTGTTTCATCGAGTGTTATGTATATTACTGCTAAATACATTGGGCTGCACTGCTGTTCAAGTCTTCTGTTTACTTATTGATCTTCTGTCTGGTTGTTCTATTCATTATTGAAAGTTGAATACTGAAGTCTCCTACTATCATGGTGTTGCTAGCTACTTCTTTTAATTCTATCAAAGTTTGCTTCACATATTTGAGAGCGCTGATGTTAGGTACATATATCTATATTTGTCCTCTCTTCCTGGCGAACTGACCCTATCATCATAAAACGTCCTTGTCTCTTTTGACAGTTTTTGACTTAAAGTCTATTTTGTCTAATTTAAGTAGGCTACTCCTACTCTTTTCTGGTTACCGTTTGCACACATCTCTTTTGTTGTGGGTACATTTTAGGTGTATATATTTGTGGGGCCCATAAGATGTTTTAATACAGTCATGCAACGTGCAATAAGCACATCATGGAGAATGGCTATCCATCCCTTCAAGCATTTATCTATTTAGTTGAAAATCATCCAATTACACTATTTTAAAATGTACAGTTTTTATTGATTATAGTCACCCTACTGTGGTATCAAATAGTAGGTCTCATTTTTTTTTTTTTTTTGTATCTATTAACCAAACTCTGCATGTATAACCCACCTTCAAATCAAGCTGAACTAACATTGGTTAAGCACAAAACAGTAAGTAAACTACCTTGTATCCCAGGCCCAACTGATAAATAGCAAATATCTGAGCTGCATTAAGAGCTTCACTGAAAAGGTAAACTGCAGTCATCTGGCCACAGAATACTCTATTAGCATCTGCTGTTTCTGATGAGCCCAGGAAACATTTGTCAAAGGTCTGTAAAGGAAAAAAAAAAGGAATTAGAAAAAAAAAAAAACTCCAAAAATAATAAAAACCTATATTATCACAAATGTGTTGTCCATTCTAAACTGTATCTAAATAGACTAAAATAATTTATACCATAAAACCATTAGAAAGAATGTTGAAAAATGTGTATGTAATGATATTAGGGGATATAGAAAAGTTTGAAACACGTGTGTTCTCAAGCCAACCCACCTAGATCAAATCCCTGCATCCTATGCCACTGAGTATGGCAAGTTACTTAACCTCTTTGTACTTCACCAATCTGTAAAATGAAGATTATAATAATGCTTATCTTGCAAGGTTGCTGGGGCTTTTTGAAAATAAACCTATTTATTACAATGCCTGGAATACAAAAAGCACTCAGTAAAAGTTAATTAAAGAAAAAACAGGTTACAAAACGATACTTACATACGAGCCCTTTTTTGTATTAAAAAGGAGCTAACATTTACTGAGCACTCATTCTGCATAAGGCACTCTGGTAATAGATTTATGGATATTATTTAATATCATTTAATCAGATGACAACTTTCTGAGGTATTAATTATTTTATGTCCATTTTCAGGAGGAAAAATACTAAGGCCTAATATTTAGGTAAGGTCATACAGTCAATAAACGACAGAGTTGAGATTCAAACCTAAGTCTGTCTGATTCAGGACCCTGATCTCTTAAGGTTAGCATTACAAAATATGTATATATGTGTAGCAAAGGATATGAAAAGAGGAGTTAATGGTGTATGGGTAATATGCTTTATGTTCATTTTCCTGCTCTGTATTTTTCAAGTTTTTATTAAAAAAAAATAATTACAGGAAAAACATTGGAAATTTCATTCTAACCTATATATTTATTTTTGAAACCTGTAAATGTTACAACATACTAGTTATCTATAGCAGTTAGAATTATATACAAGATTTATAAGCATGCATCATTTAACTAATTCAGAAAAATGATCAGAACCCTATAGTGGAGGTCTCGTTCATTTTGATAAATGAACCAATGACCCACTCCCCAGATATAGCCACTGTTAGCTATAAATCCTCATTTCTACCTATACGGAATAATTTTATAACAAGGACTAATATTTTAGTGACACATTAAATTCTATTAACAAATTAACATGCTAGCCAAATTATGTTTATAAAAATCTACCATTGTAATATTTTGAATTTTATATTCAAGTTGTAAAACTTTTTCTTGTTTAAAAAATTCATGCTTTTAAAATCATTTTTTTCATTGCAACATTTTGAAACTACTTACATCACTAGTGTTGACAAACCATGTTATCTCTCCATAGGAAGCCAGTTCACCATTCACATAACATCGAAGTTCACTATTCTTCCATCGGTTATAGATGTGCACTATGGTAACCATATACCACTGAAGAAGCAAAAAACAGTTAAAAATTCAAAGATAACAATTATCCCAATAACACAACCATATTGATGTAAAATTGAGGTAAAATTGATGTAAAATTGAGGTAAAAGTTAAATGATAAGTTGTAATTCAACCTAAAAATAAAACAAGACTACCTTTGTTAAATTCATTATTTACCTTCTGGAACAATTATCTATTCATGGGCCTTTCAACTGATAAGAACTTAATCACTAGATTATTTTTCCAGCTTTTTATTATGGAAGTTTTCAAACATACCCCAAAAATCTGAAAATCAAGTACAAACACCCCCTTTTCACACCACCTAGATTCCACAATTGTCAAATTTTTGCCATATTTGCTTAATCTATCTGACTACCTATCTACCTATACATTTTGTTGACGAACCATTTATTAACCACTAAGTTTTAAGGTACAAAAGCAAACACATATTAAATTTGCAATAGTAAAATAAATGCCATAGATATTTCCTATTTGTGTCTCCCTTGATCTCCATAAATAACTAAATTTGCAATCTTTTTCATATCCAAATCAGAGAGGTCAATTATCCAGTGATTTACGCTTCATCTTTTGAAACAGTAAAAATGGAGTTGTGCTTTAGCATGTTATTATATGAATAACATTAAAACTAAGCATTTTGATGACTAGCATAGCTTGTTAACATAACTATGACTCAATAAGATCATGTACCTTTTGTGGCTTGAAATCAAATTTCACACAATGTTGAAAGCCTTTTCCTTTTGACTTTATTGATGTTATAATCAAACAGCCTCCAACAAAATGAGCAGAATAGCCAAGACCTTTGCTGGTTCTGAAACTATAAAGATTAGGTTTTCATTTTACCTCTAAATATTCTTCTCAGTTTCAAAGTAAGGTTTTAACACTAATCAGTTACATAAATACATACCAATACAAATACGGTTTATCCTTATCTACATTGATGTTATTTACAGGATCCATTCTAAGCCATGTATGAAATGTAAAACCATTCTGGTACGGCCATTTGGCTATAGGAGGTAATGCAATAGCCTAAAGGAAAGAAACTTTGAGTTATTAACTCACGTGAAACCCCGTATTATTAAAATCATGAAAATAAGACTTTGCAATGCTACATATATTTGTACTACATCACATTACTTTATGTCACAATCAAAATATCTGAAAGAAGACTCTTTATCTGGAAAAAGACTTGTAGTGACTTTTTAATTTTCCCTAATACATAGTAATGTTAATTAAATGAAAAAAATTCAGTGTAACCTGGACACATGAATCTTGTATTCTTCATTTCTTAAAATGAACATATCCACAGAGATTCAAATTAAAAGAGATAGGAAGTGATAACAAATTGGAAATTTGATTAAACTTTAAGGTATTAGAATAGAGAAAGATGGACAGGAATGGAAAGAGAAAACAGAAAAACTTGGTATATGCTGCTTTTATAAAACTACAAATATAAAACTGAAGAAGATTAGTTCATAATATTTTTATTCAGAGGTCAATATACAAATGGCTTTACCACTTGGTTTAGATTTTTATTTAAAAGATCATACTACATAATAAAAGGATCTTGTATAGCCAAAACAATCTTTAAAAAGAACAGGCCAGACACAGTGGCTCACGCCTGTAATCCCAGCACTTTGGGAGGCCAAGGCGGGTGGATAACCTGAGGTTAGGTGTTCAAGACTGGCCTAACATGGTGAAACCCTGTCTCTACTAAAACAACACAAAAATTAGCCAGTCATGGTAGTGGGTGCCTGTAATCCCAGCTACTCAGGAGGCTGAGGCAGGAGAATTGCTTGAACCCACGAGGCAGAGGTTGCAGTGAGCCGAGATCGTGCCATTGCACTCCAGCCTGGGTGACAAGAACAAAACTCCATCTCAGAAAAAAAAGAAGAAGAACAAAGTTAGAGGACTCATACTACCAATTTCAAAACCTACCATTAATATAAAGTAACAGGGATGAAGACTGTGGTATTAGCATCAGGCCCTGGTGTCCTTTGGTTAGGCAAATCCTTATTATGCCACCAAAAGGACAAGTGACAAAAGAAAAAATACATACAATGGACTTTATTAAAATTAAAACCTGTGCTTTAAGGAACACCATCAAAAAAGTGAAAAGACAAGCCACAAGAATGGAGTAAACATTTGCAAACTGAATAAATGATAAAGGACTTGTAACCAAAATATATAAAGTACTCCTACAACTCAATAATAAAAGGACAAGTAAAATTTTAAAATGGGCAAAAGATCTCAATATAAATGTTTCCAAAGAAGATATACAAATAGCCAATAAAAACATAAAAAGATGCTCAATATCATTAGTCATAAAGGAAATGCAAATCAAAACTACAATGAGATACCACTTCATACCAACTAGGATAGCTATTAATACAATCACAGAGACAGATATTGGCCGGGTGCAGTGGCTCACGCCTATAATCCCAACACTTTGGGAGGCTGAGGCAGATGGCTCACTTGAGGTCAGGAGTTCAAGACCAGTATGGCCAATATGGTGAAATCCCGTCTCTATGAAAAAATACAAAAATCAGCTAGGCATGGTGGTATGCACCTGTAACCCCAGCTACTCAGGAAGCTGAGACACAAGAATCGCTTGAACCGGGGAGGCAGAGGTTGCAGTGAGCCAAGAGCACACCAGTGCATTGCAGTCTGGGTGACAGAGCAAGACTTCATCTCAAAAACAAAAAAAAATAGACATTAACCATGTTGTCAAGGATGTAGAGAAATTTGACCCTTATACATTGCTAGTGGAATCATAAAATGTTACAGCTACTTTGAAAAATAGTCTGCAAGTTCATCAAAATGTTAAACAAAGACCATACGACCCAGTCTAGAGATGGGGACATTAAAACATATGTCCACACATAAAATTGTACACTAATGTCCATAGCAGTATTATTCATAGTAGCCCAAAAAGTGAAAATCCCAGATATCCATTAGTTGACAAATGATTAAATAAAGTATGGTATATCTGTACAATATAATATTAGCCATAAAAAGGAAAGAAGTACTGATACATGCTATACCATGGATGGACCCTGAAAACATTATGATAAATGAAAAAAGGCAGTCACAAAATACCACATGTTGTATGCTTCCAGTAATATGAATGGTCCAGAATAGGGCTGGGGAATATGGGGAGTGGCTGCTAATCAGTATGGGGTTTCTTTTGGGTGTGATGAGAATGTCCCAAAATTGACTGTGGTGATGGTTGACAACTCTGTGAACACATTTACCTACTGTACTATATACTTTAAAGGAGTTAATTGTGTGGTATGTGAATTATATCTCAATAAAGCTGTTTTTTAAAAAATTCAAACTATACAAGCTTCTGTTTTATTGTAACTTACATATGCATTTATGTATACATGTAATATATACATACATTCTTTTATATGTATTAGATATGACCTAAAATATGAAAGACATCACAGAGACAAACTTCAGTAATAACACTGAGACTTCAAGAGGCTGATTTAAAATGAACGTTGCATTAAGAAAAAAGGAAAAGAATAACTACAACTCACAGACTGACAAAAAAAAATTTTAGGAGAAAAACATATATTCAGTGTGTACACATGTTCTCTCTCACCAAAAATAATAGCAAAGATGTATAAGTTTTGCAAAAATACTTCATTCATGAATACTTTAAATTCCCAGTAAAAGCTATGTTTAAGGAAAGGAGGTCACTGAACATATTTAAAACATCTATTCTCTTCAAGTTTCAAAAGCTGTTCAGCTCACCTGCCCTACTTTCAAGATAAATGCATGCACTGCAATCTCAGAGAACTGTAAATAATAAAATTAGAACATGAGGCACGAAAAAAGTTAATCTCTTAAGAACACTTTTTTTAATGTTAGAGGCAATGATAGGCTATGATAAGAAAGTAAAATTATTCTGAAAAGCTACAAATCTAAAAGCCTTATAAGGAAAAACTGTAAAGGAAAAAACTGGGCAATAAAACTTTTCAAAGAAAGTTGTATATTGTGTATATAAAACTCAAATATCACAAATGTCATATTAAAACATATTCTTATCTTTCTGCAGATATTGCCAGGCTACACAGGGCCTAATATAAGATTTTATGAGAACAAACATAAAACAGTGATTGAAAGATAAGCTCAGGAAAAGAACAGACTGAAATATCTTTTTTAAAAGTTTGTTTTGGGCCGGGCGTGGTGACTCACATCTGTAATCCCAGCACTTCGGGAGGCTGAGGTGGATGGATCATCTGAGGTCAGGAGTTCCAGACAAGCCTGGCCAACATGGCAAAACCCCATCACTACTAAAAATACAAAAATTAGTCAGGCTTGGTGGTGGGTGCTTGTAATCCCAGCTACTCAGGAGGCTGAGGCAGGAGAATCACTAGAACCTGGGAGGCAGAGGTTGCAGTGAGCCGAGATCACGCCACTGCACTCCAGCCTGGGCAACAAGAGCAAAACTCTGTCTCAAAAAGAAAAAAAAAATAGTTTGTTTTGCTTGTAAAAGACTGACCAACGTAATAATGAGGAGATTTTAAAAACTTCCATAAACAACATATATATTATAGAATGTGCTTCAATAACATTATGAAACATTACAGATATCACTATTATACATAATTGTCTTATGTATAAACTGATTAACAGCTTACAGGAACGCTGAGATCAACATAATTTGGAAACTCACAAGTCAAGGAAAACTTGCATAGTAAATTTCAAAGCCTCTATGTCTTCACTATCATTCTATACACCAGGTACAAAAAGAAACACAGGTAGAGTAATGAAAGGTGAGAGAAAGATGTTCACAAAGATAGACATGAAGGTGTTACACACAGCTACTTAAGACAACACAGCTATGTTTAAAAGAATGAGGTTCTTATTCCATTGCTGACTCAAGCTGTGACTGAACATTTTCTCAACTAATTTAAGCCTCTGTTTCCTCAACCTCCAAAGCAATTACAAAAAAGTAACATGCAGTCATAAGGATTAAAGTATGCTGAGCAGAAGTTTCTACCCAGCACAGAACCTGTCAGGGGTGTTCACAGGGCTGTACTCTCAGGGAGCAAAGGAAAGAAGAACTGGGAGTGATTTCCTCATTAACATTTACTTACTGCAGCACTCTTTCCTGGAAAGTTAAAAAAGGCATCAGGACCATACTTCTGAGGCATGTGTTTTAACACAGACAGCAACTTCCCAGCATGTGGAGGCTATGAAGATAATTAACAATTCATTAACCACAGTATTCACCATAAGACCAAAAAAAAAAAAAAACATTTTTAATATAGTCTTGCTTTAATGTATACAGGAATAATGCTATAAGCTTAAAAGCATAGAAAACAACTTTTAAGTTATTTTCAATTATCTTAAAGAAATAATGTACTCTACACCAGTTTTTGTAAGGCTGTAGGGCCTATTAGGTATTCAATAAATACAAGCCAATATCATTAGACACCTGAAACTCTTCTCCAAGCTGCAGCAAAAATGATCTTTTTTTTTCTTTCTTTTTTTGAGACGGAGTCTCGTTCTGCCGCCCAGGCTGGAGTCCAAGTGCAGTGGCGCGATCTCGGCTCACTGCAAACTCTGCCTCCGGGGTTCAAGTGATTCACCTGCAGAGTAGCTGGGATTACAGGTGTGTGCCACCACACCAGCTAATTTTTTTGTTTGTTTGTTTTGATTTTGAGATGGCGTCTCGCTCTGTCACTCAGGATAGACTGCAATGGTGCAATCTCAGCTCACCACAACCTCTTCCTCCCAGGTTCAAGCAATTCTCCTGCCTCGGCCTTCCAAGCACCTGTGTGGTACAGGTGCACGCCACCACACACAGCTAACTTGTATTTTTAGCAGACATGGGGTTTCTCCATGTTGGTCAGGCTGGTCTTGAACCGACCTCAGGTGATCCATCCGCCCGGGCCTCCCAAAGTACTGGGATTACAGGCATAAGCCACCGCGCCTGGTCTATATTTTTTGTATTTTTAGTAGAGGCAGGGTTTCACCACATTGGCCAGGCTAGTCTCGAAATCCTGACTTCAAGTGATCCGCCTGCCTCAGCCTCCCAAAGTGCTGGGATTACAGGCATGAGCCACCACACCCAGTGAAAAATGATCTTTTAAAAATACAAACTACATCAACCCACCACCCACCCTTCTTTAAAATTAAGACACTTAATAATTTAACAAATACTTAAATAATGCTACTATACTCCACTGTTAAAGGTACTTCAAAAAGATACTTGCACAAGCATGTTTATAGCAGCATAACTGACAATTGCAAAATCGTGGAACCAACCCAAATGCCCATCAATCAATGAGTGGATAAAGAAACTGTGATAAGATGGCCGAACAGGAACAGCTCCAGCCTCCAGGCCCAGCGTGAGCGACACAGAAGATGGGTGATTTCTGCATTTTCAACTGAGGTACCAGGTTCATCTCACTGGGTCGTGTCAGAGAGTTGGCGCTGGTCCGTGAGTGCAGCCCGACCAGCGAGAGCTGAAGCAGGGCGAGGCATCGCCTCACCTGGGAAGCACAAGGGGGAAGGGAATTCCTTTTCCTAGCCAAAGGAAATTGAGACACATAACACCTGGAAAATCAGGTAACTCCCACCCTAATACTGCACTTTACCAAGAGTCCTAGCAAACGGCACACCAGGAGACTATATCCCACACCTGGCCCAGAGGGTCCCACGCCCACAGAGCCTCCCTCATTGCTAGCACAGCAGTCTGAGATCTAACTGCAAGGCAGCAGCGAGGCTGGGGGAGGGGTGCCCACCATTGCTGAGGCTTAAGTAGGTAAACAAAGCCACCTGGAAGCTCAAATTGGGTGGAGCCCACCACAGCTCAAGGAGGCCGGCCTGCCTCTGTAGACTCCTCCTCTGGGGACAGGTCATAGCTAAACAAAAAGCAGCAGAAACATCGACAGAGGTAAATGCCCCCGTCTGAAAGCTCTGATGAGAGCAGTGGATCTCCCAGTACAGAGGTTGAGATCTGAGAACAGACAGACTGCCTGCTTAAGTGGGTCCCTGACCCGAGTAGCCCAACTGGGAGACATCCCTCACTAGGTGCAGACTGACACCTCACACCTCACACGGCGGGGTACACCCCTGAGACAAAGCTTCCACAGCAAGAATCAGACAGCAACACTCACTGTTCAGCAATATTCTATCTTCTGCAGCCTCCACTGCTGATACCCAGGCAAACAAGGTCTGGAGAGGACCTCAAGCAAACTCTAACACACCTACAGCTGAGGGTCCTGACTGTTAGAAGGAAAACTAACAAACAGAAAGAACACCCACACCAAAACCCCATCAGTACGTCACCATCATCAAAGACCAAAGGCAGATAAAACCACAAAGATGGGGAAAAAACAGTGCAGAAAAGCTGGAAATTCAAAAAATCAGAGCGCATCTCCCCCTCCAAAGGAATGCAGCTCATCGCCAGCAACAGAACAAAGCTGGACGGAGAAAGACTCTGATGAGTCGAGAGATAAAGGCTTCAGTCAATCAAACTGCTCAGAGCTAAAGGAGGAACTACATAACCAGCACGAAGAAACTAAAAACCTTGAAAAAAGATTTGACAAATGGCTAACTAGAATAACCAATATAGAGCAGTCCTTAAAAGAAATGATAGAGATGAAAACCATAACATGAGAACTACGTGACAAATGCACAAGCTTCAGTAACTGACTCCATCATCTGGAAGAAAGAGTATCAGCGATTGAAGATCAAATGAATGAAATGAAGCGAGAAGAGAAGTATAGAGAAAAAAGAGTAAAAAGAAATGAACAAAGCCTCCAAGAAATATGGGATTATGTGAAAAGACCAAATCTACGTCTGATTGGGGTGCCTGAAAGTGACGGGCGAAAATGGAACCAAGCTGGAAAATACTCCTCAGGATATCATCCAGGAGAACTTCCCCAACCTAGTAAGGCAGGCCACCCATTCAAATTCAGGAAATACAGAGAACGCCACAAAGATACTCCTCGAGAAGAGCAACTCCAAGACACATAATTG